GCTGAAGGAATGGTTTCTCACACAACTTTCACAATCGATTTCATTCAATGAAATTATGCTTCGTAGAACACAACTGTCAATATTTTCCAAGGATAATCTTCTTATGGATCAATGAGACTTTCCCACAGGAAGTGCGGAGTTTAGAACAGTAGTTCGATTATGCCATCTTCCATCAGTGTAATATGGGAGCAAATGTGACGCAGACCGGAGACATGCACTGTTGGTGACAATCCAAGCATTTGGTCGAACCAGGAACAATCGGATCCCGCCAGAAGTTTTCAATAATCCCACTGTAAGTTTTAACACCAAGTTTCAAACCATGTGCTGAGTTAATATATTTTGAACAGTTGCTGGGTGCGTAAAGGCTGTTCTTTTTTTTCTTTTTTTAACGCCAAGCTCAGCAATAATTCAAGCTACTGACAGCCGTCTGTAAATAATCAAGTCTGGACCAGCCAATCCAGTGATCGATATGATGTGCTTCGATCCACGCATTTGGGTTAAGATGACATGCATCCATCATGTCAGCGAGCCTGACTACCCGATCCCGTTAGTCGCCTCTTACGACGAGCATTGTCGCTATTTCGGGCAAGCGTGGGTTGCCGAAGACCTTTTCTAACCCAGATCATCACAGGTGAAGTAGTGAAGTAACAACATGATAATAAGTGTGCGGCACTGTTGGAAAACCACGAGACATACTACTGTTTTAATCCTTTCCTAAAAAACCTCATCAAAATATTTTGTTAAATATCAAATTCAAAGTTTAAGCAATAGGATATCTATTTCAACTTCCCGTCACTAGGTGTTCTGATCCATCAAGTCCAACCTTACACATGTGATATGCGTCTTACGAGTGGTACATGTAACCCTGACACTCCATCTGACGGCTAAGCAGTACAGCCTTCACCTTTATCGGTAACGTTAGGGCTGGTGTATGGTCAGTATATTCTCTTAAACAACGATATATCTATTGTCATGTCCTGCAATATATATCACGTGATTCAGTGATACATCAGGAATGACCACGACTGCATTAAACCACCATTGTCCGAAGCGAGGCGGCCGTATCAGCTGATCGTTCATTCCAGGTTGTCTTGTCCACGTTTTGCGATCGGTACTAAAAGTGTTGACGTTTTCTGGATATTTGCATTTCACACTTTTAATGGTAGTTTTCGTATCCATATGCATGTCGTATTATCGCTGATCTGACCATATGCATGCAGTTCAGTATAACGGCTGTAGGTGATGGAACGCGAAAGGTGAAGGTCTTTTGCATGTAGATTGGTCAGAAAATTGTGAATATTGACAGCAACATGTACGTATTTCGTGGGTATAGTACTGAGATAGATGGTAAAAAGTATGGTCAAGCAATTTTACTGACCATGTAACGACAAATCATTATAATTATAATGTTCAACCTAAAAGAGATGAAAATCACAGTGACTGAAAGCTATTTTGGTATTTGCAACACAGTTGGTGCATGGTGTAGAAAACGATTGTATGAATGGTTTATGGCTGCCTGTTGCCTGTTATCATGATTATATCTCAGGTATGATAAGTAAAAGGTAGATATTACTGTGGCAAAGATGTATTTTGAATATTTGAATCATATTTGTCAAGACACAGAAGTGCCTTGATATAGTTAGATACAAATTCAAGGGTACTTACCACCTGAATGTTTTCATCTTATAAATTAAAGACAAATTATACTTAATTTCAATCACCATAATGATGATGGTATTAACAGATTTACATTGAACTGACTGACAGTGTTTACATCCAGTCTGCTTTGACAATGCTAATATGAGAAAGAGAATTTGTGGCTATCAACTATTATGAGGAACACAACGTTTCGGAGTATATACTTACTCCTTCATCAGGTGAAAGTATATACTCCGAAACGTTGTGTTCCTCATAATGGTTGACATCCATAAATTCTCTTCCTTATGTGCATCACTTCTAAATGTCATTCAAAGACTTCATGCTGAGTTGATTACGATGGAAAAATCTCCTTTTGAAATTCACAGGACCTTGGCCTTTATTTTATCCTTATTCTAAAATGATGGTTTTAGGAATCCCCACAAAAACAAATCAATAATGTTATTGTTTATTCTCTGTACTTCAGCATATATTTGCATAGCATAAAGTCATAAATAAAATAATTATAAAGTATAATTGTGCATATTGCATTACACATGCATGTTTTTTCAGGAGTATAACGTATTCTATTAAACATAATAACATATAAATAAATACAGCATTTAAAAATATCCACAAGAAATTCTTTTGAGGTTGCATTTGCATTAATGTTCAAAAATATTTGATTAAAATCTTGAAATCTGGGTACAACTTGATATACTGTTTTGTACCCAGCGTTCATTTTGATGGTTAACCGATCCGCTCAGCCTCACGCAGCATCATGCGTCACCAAAACCAGACGAAGCTACGCATGCACATATCATATGCATATATTTAGGTACATACACACCTTCTAGAGAAGTAATTATCATTCCTATTAGGTTGGGACAAATTCCGTGATATTGGTGCCATTTTAAGAGCACGAGTATCAGCATTTTGTTAAATAACTAACACCTGTGATGACGCATGTCACTTAAATTAATGATGGACACATTTTATAAGGGACAGAATAATAAGGTAGATCTTATATTTCTTAAACTACGATGATTGGTATGTATATTTGCAACTGAGCAACTGATTGGGTGATAAATGCATGGGAGATTTGCATTTCTAACTATGGTCAGAATTGTTCTTATGAATCAGAATAAAGAGGAAATGTTGATACAAACGAAAGTTAGTTACTTTATGCTGCACGTTATATCTTCTTAAATGATTAGTAAAGGCACTGAGGTCTAATAATAACTATAGATGCGTGGAGAGGCCTGTCAAGGGATGTTCGTATGGTGTAGGACTATCTTCGTCTTTATTACATTGAAGCCCATGTTTGAATGCTGCAATAATGCCGTGGGAAATTGCACATTAAAGATTGATAAATGAAGTATGTTTGCATTAATTCGATGTTAACCCAGTTGTTTTCTGGCGTAGAAAGTTTTATATGGGGTTTTCATGTTCTTGTTGCAGACTTAACATATGTTACTATTCTAAACTAACAATCACTTCGAAACATGTGCTCGTTCGGGATATTCGATACTAAACAACCGTTTTAGTAGTGCCTCAACATGTCACAAGCTGTGGCCGCGCAAATATAACAGAGAACCAGATTGGGCTGGCGCTTATATCATTTCAAAAGGAGAGGTTTCGGCCTTGGGACAAATAGATCGGCCATGAATGCACATATATTCAAAGATTCATAATCAGAACAAAATGATGTGAGGAAGGTAAAGTGTTGTAAAATATCCACTTTCAGTTACATGAATCTTGAAACGATTATAATCTTCAAGCACACACATTGGAAACGTGACAGCATATTAACCGAGGTCATGCGTTTGTGAGCCCTTGTGGGGAAGATGTCACATTGCTATTTCTGTACTATCGTAAACGATTCCTACATGCACATCAAAGGACTATAATCAAAAGGACAGAAGATGGAAAAACATTTTGTCCTATAATGGCTAGTATTATTGGTGCGATAAATAAATCCGATAAACTTGGTATCACCATCCGATGAGGTCGCCCACCAAGAACTAATTTCAAAACACATTCATCGATGCTTTCGTTCTCAATAAACTGTTGACTTACATTATCAATATGCTTAGATGGAGGTTTCCTAACGTGTCACTCTGTTCCTGCAGACAAATATAGCTGCAAGTCATTGGACACTACATGATAAATTGGGCAATTAACTCAAACCAAGTATTTGTAAACTGCTAAATTAGGTGATGTTATGTATTAATTTAAACATGACAGTATATGGTAATTACGCTATTACCCGTGTGTGTTTCCGAATAGTAAATATCATATATCAGGAATATAAAATATGCATTTTGCGCATATTATACAGTCTTATTTACGACACGGAAACACACTCGGTTAATAATCTATCTATATATTGGTAAGGTATTCAAACTATTCGATAGAACCATCAAAGGCCACCCTTCTCTATGACGTCGTAAGACTTAACTAAACACACAATAACTAAACTAAACTGAATCAAACCATATCATACAGCATATGAGCATTTTAGATGCTTTGTAATCTCGCGTATACATCCTCATCTTCAGACTTCAGATTACACAGTAAGTATTATGTTGTGTGCATAAGGTACGGTGGAAGACTGTAGATTATATTAACTGTTACCTGAGACACTGTCATGTGTTCATTCACACAGTAATAGCTATAAAAGTTAGAATGACATTTAACATGTGAGTACAATGTGAAATTAGTTACGTGGATTTACTCCCAGCTCACCTAAAATCGCATTCCGATTAAAAAATGATGTATTTCATTTGAATACAGGCAAATTACTCAAATACATACCCATAATATAACTAAACGATTTAGAGAGAGAAAAACAAATATCAGAATCCAGAGAATCAGTGTAATATTTTCATCCATCAACAGAAATGTTTTCACAAAAATGACTCCAATTTTCGAATGATCAAATTAACAAGGAAGATGTTCTATATCTAGCTTTCATCTCACACTTTGCGCTTGAGAAGCCGCGAGTAAGTGTCTGTTATGCCGATTCATGCAAACCTCATTTCGTCTTCATTAGAACATTATTTGATCAGGGGTTTACAGCAACCAACGCAAGATAAAGTGACGCAGACCATTAGGGATTCCGGGTTAGAATTATAGGCCCCAGGAACCCATGCTTGTCGTAAGAGGCGACTATATGGATCTGGTGATCCTGCTTGGTGGCTTCGATGATTCCATGGCATCGTTCCAATTGCTTTGGATCGATGCTCATGATGTCGATCACTGGATTGGGTTAAAATGGTTTTCATCTTTTATAAAGTTACTGGCAACAATTGCGAACATGTTTGAATACAAATATTTTACAACATAATAGGTTCGATACATACCTTGTAAAAGTAAAAAACGTCAGTTGGTGTAGCGTTCGTTGATGTTGGAACGTTACTGTCGTTGACGCCGGTGTCATACACCATCGTTGCTGATAATGGTGTCGTCATTTTAGCAGGATAATTCCGCTCCGAAATCACAAATAATTCCAAAATGTCTTCGTTTTCGACGTCCTACAGTAAATCTCAGCTCAACAGCAAAGGATTGACGTAACACGGGCGAATCGATGGTCACTTGAAGGTCCTTTGATCCTTGGACAGTTCGGGAGAAATGTTATTGTTTGGAATTTGTTACTGTTTTTATTGTCAATAATTCGATGAAAGCGGCAAACCCGAAAGACCCTTTGAATTCAGAGAAGCAACTGGATTGTTGGCATCGAGTCTATAGAAACACCGGCACAATATTTTTTCACAGTAAAAATCCTCCAATCTGAAGTCTCTAATCCATCACCATTTCACAACACTCACTGTTGTACTGCTGGCGCCCTAAATGCAAGAAGAAATACGTTTAGCATCTTAATAAAATCCCGAGTATATTAGCAAAGGCTGGAGAAGTCTCATCCGCAGTGCAATAAACAGAGGGGCGTGTGATGAAAGTAATGAATGAGACCATATTACACTTCACAGGCCGAGGCATGGAGAAGCCTGGTTCCTGACACTTCGCTAAATTGGGCATACATTCAGAGGTTTAACAGCTGGTAATTGTTCTCCGGCACGCCAAGGAAATCTCTGTAAAATATGCCCAGGAGTGACAAAAGACGATGATATTGTGATATTCTTGGTTGTGAAAAGTCCGTGAAAAATAATCAGTTTTCGGGAGGCTTTTATAAGATTTAAAGGACCTCGGTGGATGCAACTGCTTCTATAGACACGAGCGGATATCCTTTTCTGGCAGCTCCACAACTGTAATACCTTGTGCTGCTGTGAGGTGAAGAGACGCAACATACGAGTCTGCCGTGCGGGGGACTCCTGACAGGTCCCTGAAAAATAGATGAAATATATATGACTTCAATTTGAAACGTGATCCCAGCTGTGACATCAGGCAGGACAAGACAGGATGTATGTGTCTCATAATGAAAATCTTGTCTTTGCGGACAAGGGATATTAGTTGATAAAATAATAAATTTCATATAAGAGGTGTGATACATACTTTATTTTGACCCGGTAATATTCTGGTATATTCAATTGCAGAAAGTGATATTCTTAAATTATTATTATCACGTCATCAGCATCATCAGAATCATCATCATCAGCAGCAGCAGCAGCATCGCCATTAGTAGTAGTAGTAGTAGTAGTGGTAGTAGTAGTAGTAGTAGTAGTAGTAGTAGTAGTAGTAGTAGTAGTAGATTCAAATTAAAAAATGAAGCAAAGAGGGTTTGGGTGATCCTGGCACAGTCAGGCTGGTTAGGCTCACCATCAGCTCAGGGCCGTTGTCCCCACACGCAGCCCAGACAGTGAATGGGCCTAGTCAAACCCACCCAGAACTATTTTGAGAATGTGAAGACTCCCCAACACTGCAGCCTTCTGCATTACCTAGATTGCCAGAAGGGCTGTATTCCTGGTAGAAAATCCGGGTACTCTCCCAATGTCAGTAAACAGATTGGGAGGTACCGTGAACAATGGGGAGTCGGACAACTTGGTACTTGGGTTGCACGCGTGACTGCATATTTGCCATGTTTTTCCTGCATCTTGTCAATAACATTAGTGTCAAAAGGGACAGAAAATGCAATAATATAATGATTTCATTGGATTTGTCAAAATAGACAAGATCAGGTTTATTGGCCTGGATAGGCAAGAGGCTGTATACGGGCCTAGTCCACAGACGTTTGTATTTATCAATTTCCATGATGACCTCTACATATTCTGGGACGTACCATGAATGGACCTCTGTGTCAAAACCACAAGCATGGGGAAGACGGTAATAAAATGATCAAGCCACTCCATCATGTCGCTTAAATTACTGTGTTTGTGGTAAAGCTGGGCATCCACTGATAATGTGTTGGGTAGTCTCAATAAATTCATTACATAACCTACATTTCATATTTACAGTTTGATGCAAAAATCACACATTGACGATTTCGAGTGGGAAGTGACTGGTCCTGAGCAGCAAACAAAATGCCTTCTATTTCACTTTTCAGGTCAGCCGACTTCATCCAAGCGGAGGACTCTGCAGGGTTCCATATCTTCTCAACACAATGCACATAATAAACTCGATGCAGTGGTCGTTCAGATAGCCTCTCCTTGAGTCTGTGCCCATTTGATATGGCAGTTCGCTTGGTTGACACTCATTCTGGTATTATTGTTATTGTTATTAACATTTTTACTAAATGTATCTATTACATTAGTGTAGTTAACTGTATAAAAACTGATACGGCAATGTTTGTGAAGGTATAAACAAGTTATGTGTATCGCATCCTGGCCGAGTATATAATTATCATGGAATTAGGAACCAACAATGTCTGTACTTTGCAAACTGAAACGTATATAAAGGGTTCACGTTTTTGTGATTAAAGTGGGTACGGCAGAGCATTTCGCTGTGTTGCACTCCTTGGGCTTGATGAGATACTACAATGGTGGGTTCGAATCCAATGGTCGCTCAACATGAGTTTCTTCTTATATGGGGAAACTGAATCTTGCCAAAATAATGAAAGCAATCACATAGGGTCATGAACTATCAGTATTGTCTATGTATCAAAATCCATCACAAACAAATTATTCCTCCTTATTGTTAAACTATCGATCACAACATGAACACTGAATCACTTTTCTTTAACTGTTGAACCTCACATTATACCTAATCCTGACAAAAAATGCAAAGACGTTATACCAAAGAGTTATCGTGAGTGAGTGAGTAAGTTCAAAGCAACGCGGCTTTGAAGAATATTTCAGTTGTATCAAACCCGTGATGCAAGTCTTAGATGTTACCACTTCGGTGAAACCCACGAGCATGATCGTCGTGCAGACACGACTTAGAAATAATAAGGGCCAAAAAATATTGAAAAAACATTTTCATGACTTCTTGGCAATGAAAACTGGAGGAATCACCACCGAATATACGAAAACACCACTTTGCGACGCATGGACCAGCCTCCAACGAGCGTCTTAACATGAACTATAGATACACGTATGCAGCTCTATTCAACATTGATCTGGAGGGAATGAATGGGAATGACTAAAATATCATTACAGAATGTAGAAGCGGTCAAGTGAGTGACGGCTGCTATTGACCTCAGTGTGAAGTGATTTGATCAGCTGATAATCAAGTGTTCAGATAATGGTAAAGATTTACTTCGTTACCATTTGCACTCATATGAACTTAGTATTTTCGAATAATTTTGTCATATATTATTAGGTATTTGGAGTTATATGAGCGGTCCATCAAGCACACATTGCAGGAGTACAGTTATGAGAATGTCTCTTGTATAATGTTACGGTTAGAATATAGACATACTGACAAGTACTTAGTTGTGTAATTATAGCCAAATGCCTTCCACCTATTCACCCACCGGAACTAGAAATAAAAGAGGCCAATGAAAGCGCCTCATCTGTTATTAGTGCTGTACATAAAAAAATAGGGAGACGTAAAACTATCCACAAGACTGTATGACAAGAGGGTGACTTTGACAAAAGGGATAACTTTCCAATAGTCAACTTCCTTTTATGTCGAGCATTATTCCAGCAGGTCCGGCCTTTGGTGTCCATATTTCATAAGTAGTCGAGCATTCCTTATAAGAATTAAAAGAGCATCATACAACTCTTGCTAAAAATTGTTTGATCGGGCTCTCAACATACCAGTCCTCAGATAAGCTTTCAAAACAATTTATAGTAGACTAGACATGTGGATGGTATTTCCAAAGTTCAAACATCAGTGTAAAAACTTATGTCTGATGTAATTCCCTATTTTGACAATTGACTTGCCTTGCCGTGTGTTTAGGACGGGTGCCACAGGTGGGGCAGGATACACGAACACCTGGTATCATCACTATTTGATAGTGATTCATGAACTAATGCTTAAGATATAGTAAAGCGATTTCATACGATTATGTTATATGTTTATATGGTAGGGGGTGCATTAAAATACCAGCATGTGTGTACATCTAAAAACCTACGACTTAACTTTGATCAACAGAGTTAAACCGAGATAATGCCCTTTTTTCCTGTTATGGTTTTTATAGAACCGGGTTTTTGCACTTACGTGAAGACCCCACGAACCCATATCGTCAATATATTGAGTAATGTTGGCTTTGCATGTGAAAGACCGTTGTCAATGAAACAATACGTAAAACGCGTAACATTTTTTGTACATTTCTGAAAGTTTTCAATACATATGCGTGCTTGGTAGAGCACAAGATTACTAAATAAACGCCTTTAAAAATAACATTACGTTCGTTCCAACTGTACCAGTAAATGTCAATATATTTACATCACGTTACGTTGTATAGGGTTGTTTTACATTTCTAAAAGAATACTCCTTTCACCATGCCTTGTGCACATGATATTAACTGTTATGTTGCTATCGACATCTCTAATGGGACTGTGCCCCCAACCTTTGACTACAATGTAGAATTGTAAAGTCAATCGATTTTATGAGGATTTTGTGAAACGTACAAAAACAATGTATCACGCATTTATACTTGATAAACACCCATTATGTTTCACCAATGAAGCTGTGTAAAGGTCTGCATGTTTATCACTCGGGCAACTACTAAGCGTCTTTTAATGATTTTAACATTCAAATGAACTACCGTGCAAATCAATTTAAACACATGGATCTGTTTTTGTATGCTACACAAGAATGAACTGTACCGCTTTAAAACATGGTTACATTGTTGTACTTTATGTAACTGAAGTCAAATTCCACAAATCCTGTGCTTTAAAATAGACCCAGCATTGAATTGTAGTTGCTATGATGAAGATGTTTACTTGTACATGACAAAAACTTGATAATCTTGCACAATGGTTGAAATACGACAATACGGTTGAGCCAGTTACATGTATCTAAATACATTGATAATGCCTGTAGTTATTATTGCTATTCTCCAGAATTTAGGAGAGGATTTAATCAGGTTGTTAATGAGGCATATAAAACGATCATTGTTGACATCGTGCTCCAAGGGCGTGAAGGGTTGCTAATTGTCTCAGCATGAGTGGTCAAGACCCGGTAACAATTATAATATAAATATATATTTAACCTTGCGCTTCTGTCGCATTTAAACCGAAAATGGATTAGAGTTTTCAATTATCGTACTTAGAATACGTTTTTTGAATGCCACTAAAAAGGGAAGTTTTATGTATTAAGATGCGTCCTTTGGAGGTAGATGCGAATATGGATATAGGTGTTAATTTGTATGCGGATGTGGATGTAAATTGGTATGTGGATGTGGGATGGAATGTGGATGTGGGTGTTAAGTTGTATGTGGCTGTGGGTTGGAATGTGGATGTGGGTGTTTATTTGGATGTTGATGTGGGTCTGGGTGTGGTTTTGGATGTGGCTATGGGTAAGGATGTGAATTCGGATTGTTTAGTTATTGCTGCATTGACGACAATACCAAAGATTACTTTGGAATTAGTTTAGTATGAATCGGCTTTGGACAGGGACAGTTATTGGTTTGCCAGTCTATGGTCAATCAAGAGATGCAATCATAGTCGATTCGAGTTTGATAGTCGCATGGCTGGGTATCGCGTCTTACAATCAACTGGTGATGTAGAATCTTAGGGTAAAAAGTCACGATCACGTGAGTGAGGATTCCAAAGATCCATAAAAATCCCAGCAAAGAGATATATATGTTGCTGGGTCCAGCAAATGTACCACCAAATCCCCGTCTCAAAGATTTACCATAATCCTTCGTACAACGATGCAAAGAAGGGGTTTCGTAAAAGTCACAGAACGTATTTGAGACAAGTGGAATTATTACCATGTGGATTGTCAAAAGCTCAAGAGGATTTGCTTGGATTGTTGCAATCTCAGGACAGAACCAAG